ACATGCCCCAAATCCCCACTCAACCACGTGGTGTCTCGGCCCTAACTTCATTAGAGTCATTATTTACAACCACCAAATTACAGCCTTATCAGCTTGCTGGAGGTTCTTTCAAAACACTTTTATTCCCAGGAAACTGCATTAAGTTTATGCATACAGAATTCCCATCAAAACCCAGTGGTGGGCCAGGAGCAGTGGCTCATGCCTGTAATCCCATGACTTTGGGAGGCTGAGGCAGGCAGATCACCTGAGGTCAGGAGTTTGAGACCAGCCTGGCCAACATGGTGAAATGCCGTCTCTGATAAAAATACAAAAATTAGCCAAGCATGGTGATGGCCACCTGAAATCCCAGCTACTCAGGAGGCTGAGGCAGGAGAATCACTTGCACCTGGGAGGCAGAGGTTGCAGTGAGCTGAGATTGCATCACAGCACTCCAGTGTGAATGACAAAAACAAAACAAAACAAAATAAAAACCCAAAAACCTGTGTTAAACATGAGCTTCAATACTGACATAAACTGGGTAGGTTGTACCTACTTCCGCCCCAAGTACCTGGCATTAGAGGAATGGCATTTTGGCTTGATGTCTTTTCCCCTTACCCTCTATTATGGGTATGTAACTAGCTGGCTATGCACATTGATTTATGTCTACTTTGAGTGACTTCCAAGTGTTAAGCTGGGGATCTGGCACTCACATGAGAGATGGTCTGAGAGAGGAGACGAAGCCAGTGTCCTGGAGAAATGCAGCCAGGAGAGATCTGGTCCTGAGGAATTTCTCTTCTGAGGAGGCATGGTCAGTTCTCCCATCTCCAAAGCAGGAAGAGAGGACGGGCTCGAAGCTGAAGTCGTGGCCTCTTGGCTGTGCACAGTCACTTCTTCTGATGGCCCCATTGCCCTCTCTGTTCCCATCTCTGAGGTTGTTCCACTCTTTGCTTGCAAAGGGGCAACTCTTTCATCGAACTCTGAACTGCTAGATGGCAGGTGAAGACTTTCCGAAGCTGAAAACAGACAGCAACAATTAGAATTCCACCAGCACACTTCAAATGTCTTAATATCTTTTGAGGGGGCTCAGTTAGCACATCTATAAAATATATAGACATTAGAAGAAATTAGGAGAATAATTCATTCCATGAAAAATAAACTCTTAAAAAGACCACAAACCAAGGCAGACACTGTTTGTAGATCTCACAAAGGTTCTGTGTATTGTGGTAAACTTCTCAGAAAAGGGGCAAACGGGAGGTACGTATCAGACAATACAGAATCAGAGATCAGGGTCTGATCAGGACCTAGCACCCACGTCAACCAAATGGGTCCCAGAATTTACCTGAATGCAACATAAACAAAATTCCCAACATCTGGGAGAACAAGACCATGGAATACCATGAGCAGAGTTTCTAAGCTCTGTAGGAATCATTTATGAATACAAAATACTACCATATGCATCTGTACAGAATCGAGTCCCCCCAACCAGACCTCCTGCCACTAGGACCTGAAACCATAGAGTCATCTCTGACGGCTTCATCCTTTACTTTCAGGCCATCAACAAGTCCTACCAATTCCTTCCTCTTCGTCCCTGTGGCCAACAGGACACATTGCAGCACCTGGTGTCTGGATCTCTGTCTGCCTGGGTGGTCCCTTCCAGGTTCCCTCCATCCTCCCACTCCCACGCTAGACATCCTGTACCTGCCTGCCAGGTGATCCTCCCAAATTCACTTTAGTTAAATCACTCACTTGCTCAAAAACCTTCACTGACTCTTCCTACCACACCAAATCTAAACTGCCAGGTTTCCGAAGTCCTATGTGATTATCCCCAACCCTGTCCACACAATGGTCCTGCCTGCTCTTCCTCGCCTCTGTGGGCAACTGACGCCCTCCCCAAGGGAGGCTGCTGGCCTTGCCACCCTGCAGGGAGGCCACACCTGTCTTTCTCTCCTCTGTACTTCACTCCCGTTGTCCAGACATTCCACACCTCAGCGGCCCCGCCACCTCGCTCAGATACACAGGCATAAACTCCAATCCCAGTTCTGAAGCCTGTTAACTGTTTGACCTACACTTATTGGGTCAACTCACTTCTCTGAGCTTCAGTTTCCAAATGCCTAAAAGGAGAATAACATGACCTCGTGGGCTTGCTGGAAACACTGACGCAACAGACATGCTGGAAAGACTGATGAAACAGACAGTGGTATGTAGGAGGTCCCCAATTAATGCTACTTTTCTTAGTCTTCTCTTCCTCAATCAAATCTTACGCACTGACCCCCAGCACCTTCTTGACATTTTTTGCTAAAGATAGCAAAGCACCAAGTTATGCACACCAGAGCAAGAACAACCATTTGGGTCACGTCAACACAAACCAAACCCAGGCCTGCCCCAGCTATGCATCCCACAAAACATACTGCCTCTGAGACCCTCAGGTGTGGGAGGCTCCCTGGAGAAGGAATGAAGTTTGGATTCCACTAGCCATGGATCACAGATACCACAGGACCAGAGAGGCCACTCAGCGAATCTGCACAGGGACAAGCATCATACAAATGAGGCCTAAGCCACATGTCTGACCCACCTCAGCCTAGGAACCTTGGAAGGGCACAATGGCTCAGAATGGAGTTGTGGGAAACGGCAGAAACTCTGTTCTCCAGGACTGGACGCGCATGTGTGAAATGCACATCGTCAGCACAAGCTCACCTAAGGCGCCGCTCTGGGAAGTCAGAGCTGTTGCTATCTCCAGCGAGTACCCAATAGGCGAAATAGTGAAGTTTGTTCTACTTGAAGAGCCGTTCCTTCCTCTCGCATCTGCTGTTTCAGTGAACAGAGTGAGGTTTTCTGGAGCATCCGAAGCAGCGTGGCTCTTCCCGGAGGTCTGACTCAACACATCCCCTTTGAAGGTCACTGTTGAAATGTCCTCTTGATTCTGATACAAGGTGATGTTTTCTACGTGGGACTCAGTGTTATTTTCTACCCAATTGTTCCACGCAGCATCTGAAAGAAGAAGAGGATGCATCAGGGAGAACTTGCTGGCTTCTGAATAGAAAAGCAAATCTTCAGAAAAGACACCAGGAGACACATCAGTAGACAGTGGATTCAAGTAAAAGAATTTCACCCTTCTTTTTTTCCCATATTCACTATGCTTACAATCCAGAGCAAGAAATTATGAAGCAAAAATACAATATTGTATTAAATTTCATGGTACGTAGAATAAATGAGGAAAATATATTGATAGAAAGAGATCAACATGGGGCTCATGGAAGAACAACTGAGCCTCTGGCACCTGGGTAGGGTCGGAGAGGGGAGTGGAGGAGGAAGATCGGGTGTAAGCAGAAGGCAAGAAGCATTTCCTATTCGCCAAAGTTGCTAACTGGCCTCTTGGGGTGGCAGGATGGTATCATAAAAGCTGGCAGCCCTTGACCTTGACACCTACTCTTTCAGGTGGGAGGTGTGATGCTCAATTCTGATAAAACATGAAGGCTCCGCCAATAGTACTAAAACTTGTGTAATGTAAATGGGTTTGAGGCAGTAATTCCATCTTTGAATTTATCACTTAAATCAGCTATAGTAGACAGTATCTACAAGAAAGAAAACCACATGGTCATCGAATTAGTGCTCTAAAATAAAGATATTCTTCAGGGATTGTTGAATTAAAATAGCATGCTTCAAATGGAGTTTACATTTAATGATCTCTTTCTGTGAAAAATAATAGTAACAAAAAATATGTATGTGCTAAATACTGAGGTTGGTAGCAGACGCAAGTGCCTGATGATGTCTATTTATTCAAGCATTACACAAAGTTGAAGATAGGTCCTCTTATTCTCCCCACTTTATATAGGAAGCAAAGGAGGCACAGAGGGTCAGGGAGGTCATGCATCTTGCCCAAGTTGCACAGTCAAAAAGCAGGAGGGAATATGATTATGCTACAAATAAAGGGTCTTAGAACTAATCTTAGTTAGATTATGAGA